TTTCACAGGTTGAAAGCCATCTCGGTTAACTCTGGTTAGCAGAAGGTGCCTGCCACACCATATGAACCAAGCGTAGCAGCAGACAGGCAGAGCCTTTCTTGCTGTTACGGCATCTGCACGGACAGTAGATTCACAGAAGGAGAAAAGCAATGACACCCTCCCCCCCAGCCCATATCATGCTGCGAGGAGGTTCTCCTCCTGGGAGGATCTCATGGTGCTCAGCACACTCCCAAGCTGGGAGGGCCCATAAGATCTGCCCATTTCAGCTGAGCAGTGAAGTTCTTCCTCCCGTTGGGAGATCTGCACACCAAAGGTCGGCTCTGGCCTTCAGCACGGCTGTGCAAACGTGACGATGGAAACATTGCCAAGAGCAGCCGCCCGAAACATTGCCAAGAGCAGCCGCCCAAGAGGGAAGTGAGGCCATGCAGGAGCTCCATCCAGGCAGCTACTGAGCTTAACCCTTTCAGTCACCAGTTGAAAGAACAGCTATCACCAACAGCACACGCTCCATGCAGCCACAAGCTCTTGGAGTAAGCAGGATCAGCCTTTGTAGCACTTTTCACTAGACATTTGCAGAAAAATCGTTGTGCCACACAGAGCATCACCGTATCCTCGGCTTGACCGGTGTCGGAAGGCGGCAGTGAGTTATTAGCTGCATGGAAGATGCCTGCAGGGAGCAGAAACAGCAAAGGAGAACTGAGGTGACAGGTTTTTGGCACTGGGTCATGGCGCTGATTCAGCCTGTTTTGTGACAACAAAATGGTGTGTTTCCAGCTGTATTGCATTATCAGGGAGGAAGGACTGGAGGGCTGCAGTGAGTATAAAGAAATCTAAGGGTGGTCACTGGGGAAAGACTTCCTTGCAGATGGCAAATTCATGGCCGCAAGCAGTGGTCACCTGGCCTGTCTCAGCTGCAGCTAAGCAGACCATGAGTTACCCTCTGCCAGAACATCCCCAGTGGTTCACGATGCTCATCCCCCACCAGAAACCACCCCACAGCACCCTCTCCTAACACACTGATGTAGGCATGCATCCCCGATCTTTGCTCAGAAATGATACCAGTTAACTTCAAACTCCACCTGAAGCCCTAGGCAACAGCCATCACTGGCGCCGAATAGCAGAAAGGCGCTCAGCACACATCCCCCAGCAGCGCCGGCTGCTGTGCTACAAGAGACAGGGAGAAAGTCAAGGATGTTAGAGACCTGTGCTCTGGAAGCGAGCCCACCTCTCTCTTCCCTGCCACACTACATTCAAATCTCTTAACGAGCTCTTCATCCACAGAACCCATACCTCGAAAGAGGAAGTAGTTTATACGCATCTCCCCTGACAAGGAGAGCAGGGGATTGAAGAGTGATGTTTGCCTGCAGTTCTGTCACAGAGCTGGAAATAGATCCCAGCTTTCCCGGAGACACACATAAGCTTCCTACGGCATGGTAAATCCAGGTTAAATGTGCAGATGAGCATCAGTAAGAGAATCTTCTTTCCCATCGCATTTCCTTCCTAAAACTACATCTGATCAGGTCACGCCATTTGAGAAGCACTTGGAGACCAACCATTTCTAAAAGCGAGAGAAGAAATGCAGCGCTGCTCTCACGTCACAAGTGACAAACCTTTGCAAAACGATTTGCTTCCCTCCCCTCCTACTCACTCATGTCTCAAAAAACATTTCGTTCAAAAGCAGCTCTTTAAAGATGTTATATAATAAGTGATTTGTACCATGAGGCTGGCTAGTTTTAGCCCAGCTACTTAGATCATAGTTGGATTTTATTCTCTAGTTAGCTGGCGGACTCATGTCCAGTGACGACCCTGCAGGCAGAGGATGCTCCTGGCCATCTTGCTTCCCGGCCAGAAGAGTCAATACCACAGCACTCTGGTGTTTTTGCCTCTTTAGTTATGAGCTCAGCTGTAGTATCTGTCCAATTCCAGCTCCCAGACAGGAAGGAAAGTGGGCAGTGCTTGAAGATTCTTACTTTTTCACAGATCACGGTTATGTTTAACATGCTCCATACTCATAGCAGCCAAAAAGCCATTTGCAGCAGCGCCGGGCTCCCCAGGGGCCAATCTCGGCACAAAGAACTGTTGCTAAAAGTTTAGTGAGGTCATACGTCTGGCAAATGTAATGGCAACAAATTAAACTACTTTTTTAAGAACTTGGCTTCAAGCATGCCTTGGAGATCCAAAACAAAACCCTTAACTCTTTGTAGCCTCCCCCTGCACAGAGTTCACTGCACGCAGTTTTCAAGGTAGGGTATATCCTCACACGGTGCAGAAGCAATGTCAGCCCAAGTACAAACAACGCACTCCTCCTCGCTTGGCTGGTCCACTGCTCCCCAAGTTAACAGCTTCACAAATCAGTCACTGCAGATGTTCCCAAGTCAACAAAAGATCGTGAGTGTAAAAGGAAAAGTGGATTTAACTCACTCTGGATGCAACGCACCCCTCAGTGCTCAAAAACCACAGTGCTTAGGGGATCGAGTTAAGCATGGAGCCTCGGGACAAGACAGACAATAGGATTTGGGCTCCTCCGATGTTTTTTGAGGTTATTGCTCAAGGTTTAAGCACAAGGATTATAATTTAAATCTTGTATTTTCTTGCTTGCCTGCCTCTCAAGCAATAATCACCCTTTAGAAGTGCTGGTACATTTTAAGTCCTGATATCCTACTCCAGGTACAGGGTTGTAAGGAGGGGAAATGAAGAGAGAGGAAATTGCTGACATTTGGGACAAGGAAACGATTGAGATGGAGAGCACTGTCAGAAGAAATTCCCTTCAGATTACCTTTCTTGCCACCTAAAGCATACAGAGGTTGTTAGATTCCCTCTCCCCTAACTCCCCACACCCACCCACCCTGGGTTATCTCTACAACAATACGTTGTATTGATCAAATG